CGAAGCGGCCAGGCGTGCCGCGGCCGGTGTGGGCGGGGCTAATGCAGATGCGGCCCCAAAGCCTGCCCCGTCCAAGAAAAAGAGACCGGCCACTGACGGCCAGAAGAAGTTGACCGAGGCCGGCGTGAGCGTCTCTAAGAAGACGAAGAGGGCTCCTTCCCCTTCTCCTGCCAGTGAGGCCGGTACGCTTACCATCCCCAGCGTGGGCGATGGTGGTCCCGTCGTGGACCTTACTGTTGCTGATGGTGCCGCCCCAGCGCTTCCTCTCGTCCAGGAACCACGGACGCAGAGGGCCGGCAAAGAGGTTGCCGGTGCTACCTATCAGAAAGTGATAGAGTACCCCGTCGGCGGGGGCGTGTTTAATGAGCTCGTCCCCGGCCACGTCGTCCTTGCCAAGGCCATGCCGGCCAAAGATCGGGCTCATTTGAAGAAGCTCGAGGACCCGAAGATCTATGAGGGCGGCATGGATCTTCTCGTCCAAGTAAGTGATTGTCCTTATACTCTTGTCTCTCTTCGTCTTATGTAGAGTTTTTGCCTGACCTTTGTTTTTCTTATGCAGAGTGCCTTCATGCTTATGGAAAACCATAAGAGGCAGTACTGGGAGATAGTCCGCCTGCAAGCGCTGGAGCAGAAGGCCGCCTCGGCCGACGAGGCGGTAGCTTGCCTTGACCGGCTCCGGGAGGATGCCAAGGCGCTGCAGGCCAAGGCTGATGAGGCCGTCGCGGCCAGGGACGATGCCCTGGTCAAGCTCGAAGAGAGCAGAAGGGAGCTTGAGGAGTCCCGTAGAGTGCTTGAGGCCGAGAAGCGCAGGAGCGAGGAGGCCGCCAAGGCGAAAGCTGAGGCCGAAGCCGCCGTTGTGAGGGCTGCCGATGAGGCTGTTGAGAAGTTCTTGGCCGAAGGGTGGAAGGCCGATGAGAGGCTCCCCTGGTGTTACGAGGTGGTGGCCGCCAGGCTGGAGAATTGGGGGATGAACTCCCCTGCCGGCCGGGAGTATTTCAGCCAGGAGATGTCTGTTTACTACAACCTGGGGCAGGAGCGGATGCAAAGGCTCCTGTACCGGCGGCTATCCCGGGCGTTGAAGGCCATGAATTACACGGCCGGATGGGCTAGACGAAACCTGAAGCTCCCAAAGCTGATGAAGGATCCCGAAGGGCAGGCCGCGCTTCCGCTGTCGGAGCGGGAGTCCCCCATAGAAAGCTCCGGCCTCGGCGAGCCGGACTATACCGAGTTCGATTTCTTGGATGATGCCACCAGCGCCGCTGCCGGCCAGGAAGCTGAGGCCGATGAGGAGGGGGCCGACGAGATTGAAGAGCCAGTCCCGGAGGCTTGATCGGCTAGTCCCTTTTGTAGTTAGCTTTTCATTTTTTTGCCCAATTATGTAATGGCCGTAGTGCCCTCCAATTGTAATGAATTTTATCAATCGAGGAAATTTTTGCTGTCCTGTTCGGCCTTGAATCCTTTGTGTGCTTGTTTGCTGTGTCATTTCAATTCTGTAAATTGTCTAAGTATCAAGTCATGACTTGGGTCACCCGCGAGTGTCCGCTACGTCCGTGAGGTTGGCCTTCCCGTCCAGTAGTCTGGTCGGCCTATGCCTTTTTGATTTACTGTCATAACACTTGGGAAAAAATTTCCCAAGTGTTTTTGGGTCCATGTAGATCCCGTCTTTACGGCCTAGTGCTTTCCTTTCGGCCTGGTGGCCTTGTCGGCTTGACCGGTGTTCCTTTGTCATCATAACACTTGGGATTTTTTCAGACAATTTCCTAAGTGTTTTGGATTCCTTTTAGGTGCTTCCGTTTGTAGCCTTGACCGTAGTGTCCGTTCTGTTTTAGCGTTGGCGTCCTCATCGTCCTGGCCTTGGATACATCTGGCCATGGCCGTTGGCGGCTTGTATCCCTGTGTTCTGGCCGATAAGGGCACCTTCACCATAGTCTCGTGGACTTTGAATTTTTCATAAGTACACATGTGAAGGTGTAGGTGGCTAACGGCTTTGTAGTATACTGGTACCCGCTTCGGCTAGAGTTTCTCCATTTTAGTACTTAGATAATTTCCTAAGTATAAATGTTAGGCGTTTGCTTCTTCGCGGTGCCACTGCCGGCCGAGGTCTGGCTTGTGGCCGATGAGGGTGCTGGACAAAAAATAGCTTGTCCAAGGATGTATAAAATGTAGAGATTTGAGCTAGATAATTGGAGAAGATGGATGAATAGTAGAAATGTGATATTGTGTATGAATTATGAGTTAGGAAAAGTTAGTTTTACAAATGGCTCCAAGAGGAGTATAAATAGGGAAATAATGGGCCGAGCCGCTAATATGGGCCCGGTAGCCCAACTACATAAAAGACTAATCTAGTACATAGTTACATACAAATGACATATAAGCAGTACAATAATACAAATGATATCCGTAAGATGTGTGTTGGCCGCTGTCCGGGCCCAATAGTCGTGAGACCCGGGGGTCCGAGTCTATATACTCTATCAATATTATTAATTGTTTGTAATAATTTCGAACCATTCTTTCTTGTACCACAACAATTCTGCTTGTATATATTTAGTGCATATTACATGCTAATTAAATGATAGCTCAATTTCGTTCTGATTACATTTTCCAATTTCCGTGATAAATGTTTAATTTGTGGACCGATTAAAACAAAAGTATTGCCTAATTTGGCGATCCGCGATTAGTTATTGAAATTATTGCCTAATTTGTGGTAGCGTTATACTCCTCCGTCCCGGAATTATCTTCATTCTTTTCTTTTCGATCCGTTCCAAATTTATCTCCTCTTTCCTTTTTTGACAAAGAATTTGTGGTTCACATCCATTCTTACACATTTCTCCTTCCTCTGCACAACTCTTCACCACATATTTCCCACTATCTTAAAACTCGTGCCCAGTCAAATAAGGAAATAATTACGGGACGGAGGTAGTAGTAACTTTAGTTACACTACTTTATACTTGTATTCAATAATAGCTACTCCCCCATTCTAAACAGAATTCATTGTTTGACTTCACCATTTTAAAGAAAATGATTTTTTTTTGTTTTGATTCTTTCATTATGCCTCTCAAAAAGTAGATAAAATGTAGTGGGAGAGAGAAAGTGAATGTAAAGTAGGTAATATACTAAGGGTATAAGAGTAACTTTATAGTAAAAAGTTGGCAAAAATAGAAGTACGAAATTTATTTTAGACTTACCTAAAAAGGAAAGTGTGAAGTTGTTTTGGGACCGGATGGAGTATAATAATAAGGATTGTTAGCTTATATTATACTCCCTCCGTCCCCCTAATATTGGGACGGAAGGGAGTGATGTGATTTTTAAGAAAAGTAGAATTATGTGGTTAATAATGAGTTGATAAAGTGGGAATAAAGTAAGAATGAATTGGAGTCACACAAATATTACAATATATGGTATGAGACAATAATATGGGACATCCAAAAATGAAAAAAATGGACAATTATAGAGGGACAAACTGACAGAGGGAGTAACAAACTATTATCAAATTGACAAATTAATCATATTCTTTGACTTTTACTAAAACAGACTCAAACTTCATTTTTCTCAACAATTATGTTTTTCCTTTGTGTTTTTTCAATGTTACACATTTTTATCAATACGAATAAGATATAAGCAATATCGGTTTGTAAACTTAAAATTAGAAAGTGCTAATGAAATAATTTGAAATATAAATATGATTTTGTTCTTAAGTTTTACTAATTCATCCATTTAAAGTATAATTTTGAGACAAATTGAAGTTTGAGTCTGTTTTTAATAAAAGTGAAACTATGAGATATATTTGTGAATTTAATGACATTTGGGGATATATTTAGCCAATAATCCTAATAATAATACTGTGGTAAAGAGAGATCATCATCATTCTGTTCATTTGTTTTTATTTACCAAAACACTATAATCGCGGGGCGGGCTAATGACTATTGACTAATGAGTAGTGTATCAGATAAAAAATTAGTAAGAGAGATGATTAATTAATAAGATTAAACCTTAAATGCTTTCTATTTATAATTGCCAACCAAGAGAACTGGACACCGTTGCAAATTGAAAGCTAAAGCTTCATTAATTATCCATCCCATATTCCTATGAGATGGCGGCCATTAGATGTGTTACATATATCCAATACACATTCATTGGCATGGCATGTAGATATCAAAATTACTGGAAGTTCGTTTATTATTAGACTTTTTTCCCAAACTAAAGTACTTCTAAAACTTATTTCCCAAACTAATCTAGTTTTAAAATTATTTTCCAAATTAGGATATTTTTTCTCCATGTCACTCAACCTGCCACGTCACCTATGCCACATCATTAAATGAAGGTTTCATACGTAGTTTAGATAAAAGTAGTTTATATTAAATGAGAGTAACGAAGATATAGATTTGATATACATGCCATATAATTTATAAACTGTTTTTATACGGGTAATCGAAGGGGTTTTGCACCGATTGCTGCATTGGATGAGATCATGTGCCTTCCTCCCCTTTCACGCGACTTAGTATGTATCAAGATTTCTTATCAGAAAAGAATCGATTATCAAGTAGGCACTTGTAGCTCTAAGATAAATTGATTTTACTCTATCTCTGAGTCATGTCACGTAATGAGTAATTATATTTAATTTTCAAAATTAGAGAATATAATCAATATTACGCGTCAAATTTCACTCATTTTAAATTTAGATAGTGTTGATTTCTTGAAATAATACGGAGTAACTTTTTACTACATAGAAGATCTACCAAGTAATTGCCCCGTCCATCAAGCACGTATGTACACTGCCTCTAGTGACCTCTTACCTCTCTATATAGGGACTATCATATAAGTATATCGAGAATGACCAAAATTAAAAGTAAATTTTAGTAATAATATATCATAATACCTACCTCAAGTAAAACAAAATCCAAAAGGCATGTTTTGCAAAATACTTTGACGAAAAAAAGTTAATTGAGCTAAAGATCGATTATTGTTGCACTTACCTACAAAAATTGTGTCTTAATAACTATTGCCGCTGAAAGAAAAAAAAAAGCTTCAAAATGTCGAAATAAAGAGGAAATGTCTAAGCTAAGCATTTCTGCATTTGATCGAGTCCTTCATAAAAGCTTGAAGTCTCAAACATCTCTTGATGGTGGGTAACTAAATTGCACCAAATCGTCACGTTACTACAAAACAATTACGGGATTATAACGGATTTGACACAAATTTATTGATATTTTTTTGCTAAATACTCCCTCCGTCCCCTTTTAAATGTCCCGGAAGAGGGTGACACGAGTTTTAAGAAAAGTAGGTTTGTGTAGTTAATATTAATAGATAAAGTAAGAATAAAGTAAGAATAAAGTAAGAATGATTTTGAGCCACACAAACTTTACCAAATAAGGTATGAGACAATTAAATAGAGACATCCCAATATGGTAAAATGGGACATTTAAAAGGGAACGGAGGGAGTAGTTTGTAACAATTTTTTTATAAATCGTGTTATTCTTTTGCCGTGTGTGTTATATATAAATCATGCACTTTATTCCTGTGTATTTTTAAAAGGCTTAAAAAAACCTTAAGTTTTAATAAATCATTCTCACCCTGAACTTTCTATTTTACTAGTGTTCAACTATATCACTTTTAATTACGATACTTCAGTAGACAAACCTTTCAACAACAATAAAAATCTATCCTGAACAAGAACAAGATCAAACATAGGAATACATGTATCTTATTTTACATTAGAAAACAAAAGAACTTTATTTGAGAAAGTTTAAAATTTTTACTCCCTAATTCGGAATGAGTTTCATTCATTTACGGCCTCACTAACACCTACATACGAGGGACTCCCTCCGTCCCTCTATAATTGTCCCATTTTTTCATTTTTGGATGTCCCTTTATTATTGTCCCATACCATATTTGGTAACATTTGTGTGGTTCTAATTCATTCTTACTTTATTTCCACTTTATCAACTCATTACCAACCACATAATTCTACTTTTCTTAAAAACCACACAACTCCCTTTCGTACCAATATTAGGGGACGGAGGGAGTAGTATTTAATGCCGCTTCAAGGGGTAAACAAAAAATAAAATAAAATAAATATCAACTGACAAATCGAACTGACCAACACCGATCGAATAAAACCAAAATGGACCGAAACGGAGTAAAATCCTACCAAAACAGCCCACAGCAGCAGAGTGACCAGCGAAGCCCAAAAGCATAGCCCAGTAGCCTCAGCGAGCACCCAGCAAACTAGGGTTTAGTCTTCAACCCAAATCACCAGCCCAGCATCTCTTCCAATTCAGCGCCGCAGCACACCAATTCGAAATTCGAAAATGGTCAGCGGCAGACTAACCAATCAGTGGCCAGTCAAACTACGACCCCACCCCAACGCTCCCCTCCCCCCGCCCCCACCAGGCTCCGGCAACCATTTCGGCGGCATCGGCGGTTGAGGGACAAAAACCAGCCGGAAGTAAACCCTGTCAACCCGTCATCCCCCTCACTACTCCCCACCCCCGTCGAGCCCCGACGACCCCCGGCGGCATCGGTGAGAAAGCAGACGAGAGACGTTTCAACAGTAGCCGGAAAAACGAAGCCCCTGTAACCAATTTCAAACTTTCCGGAACGGAACCCGGTCATCTTCTTCGATCAAACAAACAAGGATCCCAGCCCCCAACGCCGGAAATACCAGGCCCGACGTAACAGAAAAAGCAAGCACAACCCAAATAAGCAGCATCCACAACCAGAGTGGTTAACGAAAACACATACCGGAGTAATCGAGTTTCCAAGGGAGTTGACCGCCGGTGACTGCGAACTCCAAATCCCCGACGGCCTTGGCCCAGCCTGGAATCCGTAACGAAGCAGCAATGGGTGGTGGCCGCATCCAAGATCTGCGCTGGAAACCCACCTCATTCAGGCTGCCACAAAAAACACCACCACCCTTGGAGAAATGAGACCTGCAAGTTCTCAGGAGCAACAATGAGAACAAACAGGTTCCTTAACACTCTGGGAATCTGAAATGCCATTAACGAGCGTCCCCGTCCACTTATTCTCAAGCACTTAGGAAGTCCCTAACCGTTCCGGCGTCTAGTCCGAAGACGACAGTGCTACCCCCGCCGGAAAACTCTCGCCCTGGTTGTGAGTGAAAAGGGGAAGATGACGGCGGAGCACGACGGCCATCCCCTGAAGTATAAACTCAGGCTTGCTCACATCCCAGTACAGCGGCAATGACACTCCGATGGAGGACACCCCTTCAACAAGCTTCAAACACTTCCGTCTTTCACCTGCGAAGTAGCTAGGCGAGGATCCCACCAAACTTACACCTACGAAAAGTACGACCACCGAGCCCAGATTATCCAATGTGGTCCAGCCATCTTCCACCCAAACCTCCCAAAATGGCCCGTTCATCTTCGTCCCAGCCCCCCAACCAGCGCCCGAACTTACTAGCAGCCATTGTGTTGGAATGAGCAGATTCCGGCGAGATATCACCGGACAAACCGAGCCACGAGCAGAAGACTAGCCCTCCCCAGAAACCCAACCACCGGAGTGGTGAGACAAGATCCAAAAAAGTGGCCGAAACCAAGAAGCCCACCAGAACCAGGAGGGCTCCGGCGGAGGCCGCTGCCGTGAGTGGTGGCGCCGGACCTGAGAGGGGGAAGAGGGGGCAACCTAGGAGAAGCCTAGTGACAGACACTCTAAACTCTCTCTAGAACCCTTTTCTTTAGGTGCTGATTTCATTTTTGTTTGAAGAATGTCCCTCTTAGTTGTTGTTAATGATAATACCAATTTAAAATTTTGATTCAAGAAGTCATTAGATAACCATTCAATGATGAATGCTATTTCATTTTTTACATATAAGACAAGGGTATCAAATACAAAAGTCTTGCATATTGTTTGTCTTGATAATCATTGTGATTGAGTTGTCCAAATAAGAAGATAATTTCATCATTGAAAATAGTGAATTGTGCATATAGTGTTTTGTGATATCTATTCTGGTATTATAATATTATTATCGAGACTTGTTGTCTATTTACTGGCTACATAATGTGTCATTATTGTATGTTGTTATCCCAAATCTGATTTTGTTCATACATGTTCTATTGAAGTCAGACAAGGTCCTCCACCGTCAAGCCACACCAAATATAATTGAGGATGTAATCAAACACTCATATGCAAATTCATCTAGAAAGTTGTATGTTTCGAATGATATTTGTGTTCTACTATTTTCATATTCCACATTTACTTTGAAATTACTTTTGATGTATGTTGTGTCTTCTGTTTTAGGTTAAGTCTACCACTAAATTCATGATTGAAGTCATAAACAAAACATCTACGAGTTAGTTTGGGAGTTTCAATTGGATCCGCTCCTACGTGTTCATAGTGTTGCAGTTGTGGATCAACGTCGAGGATTATCGTGTTATGATTACATCTCAAAGTCTTACATCACATGAGAGTGGGTTACTATTGATGTTGTGTCACACCTTATTGGTTATCGCTTTGATTGGGACCTTCCTGATTATATGTAGTTCATAACGTGCAACCCACCCATATGCCTCACACGTAACCCCAGTAGATCTAAAAAGAAGTGTTTATCTTCAGCTTGAGAATCTGTTTCTTGATAGAGGCAGCTGTGTACATGGTGTAAGAAAGGCGGGAACGATAAGAAGTGTTGTAACAATCATAGTCCAGTCCATACTTTATAAATTCTCAGTGTCCTACCACTTCCATTTTTATTTCATCTAATAAGAGTTGTGAAACCTTAGGTTTTTATTTTCATAGCTTTTAATTGTAATGATTTGTTGGAAGTGAAGCTTATGTTAGTTGTCAAGTTTTGACATCGGACATCATGTTATTTTCTTTTTCGTGTACTCAAGTTTATTGAATAATAGTTGTTTGAAAAACTAACTAAAATATCTGAAATTAATGGCTTCTCATCGTCTGATTATTGACCACCTCTTTTATACCTATTTAATTTAATGTCTAGTCCAAAATGCATTTAACTTACCAGTTTTCTTTACTCAATATGCTTCCCATTTCTTCCCTTATCTACAAGTCAAAATGTTCAGTTACTATATTGGTGAAACAATTGTTTGTATGAAATATTTTAGGTGTCCACCTTTAACAACTTTATTTGCTTTCTCAGATGCAGGTTGGGCTTCTGACATTGATGATTGCCGTTCCCAGCATGGTTTTGCCGTTTACTATGGCGGTAATCTTATCAGTTGGGCCTCCAAAAAGCAGCATGTTGTTGCCAAATCCAGTACAGAGGCTGAATATATAGCCATTCCCTTTACCTCCACCGAACTCATTTGGATTCAACAGCTACTACAGGAACTACAGGCCCCGTTGCACATCCCACCTATTCTTTTATGTGATAATCTTAGTGCTACTTACATGGTTGCTAATCCTGTGTTTCATCAACGGTCCAAGCATATAAAAATTGACTATCACTTTGTTCGCGAACAAGTTGCGGATGGATCTCTCATTGTTCGTCATGTTCTTGCGTTAGACCAAATCGCTGACATCTTCACGAAAGCTGTTGGGAACACTCGGTTTACCTCTCTTCGTTCCAAACTGCATGTCGTCCAATATCCGTGAGCTTGCTGGGGGGTATTAAGGATAGTATATTTTATATTATGGATAGTATATTTTGTATTTATTGTAATATTCTCTTGGCTTATTAGGTCCATGTTAAACTCATTGTAAAGCCCTAATAAGCCCAATTCTCTTGTATTTAAACACTCCCTCATCATGGAATAAACTCAACTTTGAAACCCTAAACACTTCTAATTATTAACAGAGACCATCACGAAACTGACTCACCCCAATCAGCTTCCTCGAGGGTGAATCTTGTAAAATACAAAAGTCCTGAAAAAATGTGATCGTACAATTCAAATCGCTTGTAAGGCGACTAGCTGAAAGTAGGTTACACAGGAATTTTGGGATGTATAGAACACGACGAAGATAGATCCCATTTGGCAAATATAAGCCAGCAACGGCATGAACTGGAATAGATTCCCCATTAGGAATCCTGATCGATGGTTCGGAGGTCGGACTCAAGACATTAATCAGATGAGTATCATCACACGTGATATGTTCTGTAGCCCCAGAGTCAATGATCCAAGAGCGGAAATATGGCAACACATCTGCCATGCCTTCAAACAAGAGAAGGAGAAACAATAGAGAGATATAAAACAAAAACTTTAAAAGTTATGTTTCCAAGATTTCGGCTCTGATACCATGATAAAATTGATATTGAATATTTGTAAATTTACACAATTGATACGGAATATTTGAAGAGAGATTAATGGAAGAACATCACATTTCTCACAAGTGTATTTGATCTTACGTGAGTTCACATATTTGTAGTGCAATGGTTCTCCATGAGTGATAGGAGAGAGAAAATATTAAGTCTTGCATAGGCCATGCAAATGGGAAAGCTAAGTCAATACAAAATTAGACATATTTATGTATCTAATATTTAATAATAATAATCTATATTAATATATAATAGCAAAAGAAATCTTGCAAAAGAAGTTCCCGCCAAAAAGGGTGCACCAAAAGACCGTGTACTAGAATTCAGCAGATCCCTCCATCCAAAGTATTCGGCATGTCCCGTGTAAACTGTTAAGGCTAAATAGACAAGTGAAACTGAAAAGTCACTTGCTTTAATTTATAACTAATACGGAATACTCCGTATTTAATACGGATGAACAATTAGATTTATAGATTACACCATACGAGTTGATGAGTAGGTAGACCGACAGAATATTTAGTATGAAAAATTAACTTTTTAGAGTTTATGAGTGAGGCGTTTCGTTGTCCCATATTAGAGTAGCGCAGCAATATTGCAGAAAATAATTACAGAAAATAATTCTGTTTTCAGGCAAGTTCATCATTCATTCGAATCAACACAACTTCAATGTTGCTGGCATGCATGTGGCCACGTGGGCCGGAGCATCTACGTGACATTAATACTCATGAAAAAGAACAAACTTAACAAATGATGTAGATGAATTTAAAATTAAGTTCGGTTTATTATAAAATATACGTAGTATTGTAGGATTTAAATATATCTTCGACTTGATAATAAATATGTTTATCGCTCTTATTATACTACGTAAATAATAATTTAATTTAAAAATATTTGATAGTAGGATATAATGAAAGCAATGCATCACGTGATAAATTTTTAAATATATTTAAAAAATGTAGCAAACTTTAAAATGTTGATGGGTACACATGACGTACAAGTTATGTCACTTGATCTATTAACATAATTTATTGGGTACACATTCATTTAATGTATTAGTTGGCATAATGGTAACCAGTATTACATTATGATATATTACTATATTAGTGAAATATAATTGTGATTAACTACAGGTCTAAGTAAATGAATTTATATGATCTTTATTTAGATATATTAATATTAATATATATCTGTATAGAGTTCTTTTTGTTCTTTCAATTTATAGAGCATATCTATCACTTTGAAGCCCTTTTGTATAAAACAAATTGGATATAACTTTAAGACCATTTTTGTACCTATATAAAATATGTTTGTGCACTATTTTAGAATGTATGGATTTTATACATTTTTAATTATTGTTAAAACTTTTTATTAAATGTTATAATGAGATCTCCTTTTGCTATCATGACATCTTTTCTTGCTGATTGTTTATTCGTGTGATTTACATCTTTGTGTGTTAAACACATACTTTCTCCGTCCCCTTAACTTTGTCTCGTTTTACCTTTTTTATCCGTCCCATTAAATTAGTCTCATACCATATCTGGTAATATTTAAATGATTAGAATTCATTTTTACTTTATTCACATTTTAACAATTCAATATCAACCATACAATTCAACTTTTTCCTAAGCAAACGCAACACCCTTTGTGCCAAACATAGGGGCGAAGGTAGTACAAAATATCCTCGGGTGGAATACTAGTAATAATAATAGATAATGGTATATACCTCAATAGCGGTCGTACAAATGTAACTAAGTTAATTGTGGGGGTAGATCGGGAAATATTTTTAACCTTACCACAATAAGGTAAATAGTTTTGAAAAAAACTAGGACTCCAGCACCTTCGAACATCATTCTTATAGCAGGAGAATAGAAGGGGAAAATCAGTTGGATGTGTCTTGAGGTAATTCCTCTTGCTCATCTCCGGTCTTCCTTCCTACTCATTTCAGCTACTAATATCACTCCAATACCAGGTGTGCTGAATCCATCGCTGGAGCTGACGGCAGGCCAAGCGTTGTTATTGCATTTTCTATTTAACCATATTGTATTGAACACTTGTGTAGACAGTTAATGGCTGAATTTCTTTGATCCCTTCGTTCCTTGTAATCGTTAGTAGTCTTCGGATGAAGGATTTATTCGACACACAGAGGAAACATGGGAAGAGTTACAAGGAATCCGCAAGGAATTCGCCACCGTCAATGAACACTTGGTCCGAGTCGATGAAGGATTCGCTTCCATCACACAACAATTGGAGACAATGATGGCATTGCAGCCGGCTCAAATCGCTAGAGACAAGGAGAAGGGCGGCGGCGAGGACTCGGGAAATAAGTCAGTATACATACCCCCGCACTTCAGGAATTCGACCGTCAACGTTCATAACCCAGAGATGCGGATGTAATTTCCTGAGTTTGACGGCAGCGATCCACGACTCTGGTTGCACAAGACCAATAGATTCTTCCAAATTCACCCTATGGATGATCTGGCTAAGGTACATCACGCATCCTATTATATGAGTGGCACTGCAGATTTATGGTTTTATGAATATGTTGAAGGGAGGCGCACGTGAACTGGGATGTTTTCTGCAAAAAGGTTTTTATCCCCATCACATGATGATATTGTGGTAAAGTTTACTCAATTGGTGCAGAGATCAGATGTGTCAAGTTATGTGGAGAATTTTGAAGAAATTAAATCGCTGGTAAGAGCCAAGCATCCTGCTATAACTGAGGATTTTTATATTTCATGTTTCCTTAAGGGGCTTAAGGAGGAATTAAGAGCCCCATTGCAGCTCTTTAAACCCGAGACCTTGACTATGGCTATTAATCAGGCTAAGTTGTTGGAAAACACATTGGAAATATGGGGCAGAAAAGAGAAGATAGCACAAAAAAACGCAGTAGTTCATTTTGCAGGAAGCAGAGTTAATGGACCTGAGAATTGGAAGAATAGCTTAAACACGGGAAGAGAAAACAGTAGGCCATCTGTGAAGAAATTAACCAAGGAAGAATATAATGCTAGGAAGGAAAAAGGGTTGTGTTTTACTTGCAACGAGAAATACACCAGGACACAAATGTTCAAATCTGTTCCAGTTGGTTTTGAGTGAAGATGAAGGCGAGATAATTCTGGAAGACGGTGAAGGGGAGGAGAAGCTAGACCCAGATGTTCCAGCTAAAGTGGTTGGGAGATGGGCCAGAGATGCAGGATGATTTTAAACTCTGCAACATTGTGGAACAGGATGCAACAAAGTCCTTGCCTCTGCTCTTTCTTCCTATGCTCTTTCCGGCTATGGAAGGAGTGATGGTGAAGGTTCAAATCAGGACACTGTGGGTTCAGAAATCCGTGATGTGCTGGGAAGGGAGAGGCGCAAGGATGAAGCTGAAGGTGAAGCCGAAGATCAAGGCTGTTCCATATCACCCACCTTGAGGATAAGGTGGTTGTCCAAAGCCCAAGGGGGAGATATGTTAGGATCATGGGCTAAGTAGAATAATAATAAGAATATTAGAATAATAATAAATAATTGTGATAGTGTATTAGAGGGTCCTGGGCCTGGTATTAGTTATCTTTGGCTGACCCATAAGGAAAAGATTATAAATAGGACTGAGAGTAGAATAAAGGGCAGGATTTGGACTGGGACTTGGGAGTGTTGAGACTACTCGAAGTGTCTCTATCGTTCTTTTCTTCTTTCCGTGCTTCTGTACTCCTTTTTCCTGAATTAATATACACTAAATTGTCTGGTACCTATCAAGTTACCACCTAGGGGTGGACATGGTCTGTTAACCATGTTTCGATTAACCATGATTTTCGAGTACTAGATTTTCAATACCCTTACTCCTATGTAGACCTGTCCCCGGTTTCCGGTTTATCTGGAACCGAAATCGGAAATGACGGTTTTCGAACCCGAAGCGGAACCGGAATCGGAACCGGGATAGCTTACGGTTCGGAACCGTAAGTTCTATGTAGCGGTTCAGTTCTTCGGGTTTTAAGGAACCGGAACCAGCGGTTCCAGTTCGGAACTGTCCGGTTACGGATTGGAACCGTTTTTAAAATAAAAATAAAAATAAATAATTAAGTAAATAATAGTAATGATAATAACAATACTAGTATCAATATATAGTAGTAGTAGACTAGTACGTAGTGATAGTTGTTTTACTTTATGAAAATAATACTCCATAAATAATAATTTTTAGGTATGATCTTTTTCACACTACTAGTTATAATATCTTTTTATTACAAATTATAGTAATAAATATACATAATTTACTAATTACTGAAGTATTTTAATTATTGACTTGTACATTCGTATAACCTAATTTATATCTATTTAGTTGTTGACTATCTAATTATTATACTTCATTATAGCAATTGCATGTAACTATTAATTATACTAATAGTTTTTTGGGAATTATTTTATTCGAACATTTATTTGAATAATCTTACTACATCATACTTACTTTATTTTTAATAATAACTAATTTTTTAAATATAAAAAAATGTATGACATTATATCTTTAATATATTAATTAAATTCAAATAAATACTATCAATGAATAAAAATAAAAATATACAAAAATAAAAAAACGGAGAACCGGACTAGAAGCGCTAGTATGCGGTTCCGGTTCCGGTTTGAACCGCGGACATGTCTACTCCTATGGTCCTACCATAGCATCAGTGAACCGTTTACAATTGGTTAACCAAATTTAGATGCCATTAATCAGTAAACCAAAAAATAATGCAAACAGAAAGTAAACAAATCCTGCCAAATAAACTCATAAAATACATTCCTTCCCATTACAATGAACACCTTCATTTAAGGTTGAGAAAAATCCTAAAATCGGAGTAAAAGAAATGTGAAATTCCAAAATAAGAGTACTATGTTTTTCACTAAACATGAGTAAACTATGAGAACATACTGTCATATTTGTGAATTAAGATGCAGTATTAATGCCATAATGGGCATTATTTTTCAATAGTAATTACTCCTATTTATGGGGACAAGTACTTCTATCAAACTTTTTTAAAGCTAAAAGGGCACAAAAGCGATGAGGTGGGGTTAGCTTAAAAGCGAAAGCGCTAAGCAAAGCATAGCTTTCTCACAAAAAGTGATGCTTATAAAAAATATAAAAATTAAAATACCTAATGCATAATTAAGCCAAAAACACATGACTAGTCATAACAGTAACTATAGTGAAACTTTTATCCCACGCTCCCATGCAGGATCCTGAGGGTCTTTGGATTGTGTTCCCAACATTTTTCATCTACATATAGATGTTTGAAAAACTTAAAATCAAGCAAGTGTACAAGTATTTTAATATAATTGTAGCTAGTAGCCTAGAACTAATGCATATTCAAGTAAGTTTAGTAGCGACTGTAGCGTTCAGTCGTTCACTTTATATTTTTACACTGAAATTAGAGTGATGTTGGGTGAAAATAGAAACAAGCACAGTACTTCTGGTCATACGAGTATTGGGAACTTTACATTCCAAGAAGAAATGTAAACGAAAAAAGAAATGTAAAACAAAATCAGAAACAAGTTTTTCTTACTAAACTTTGCATGGGGTATCGATAATAATTTAAATAAAATAGAGTCAAACAAAATAAATAAACTCACAAAAGCAGAAAGCTTTGGGTCATAAGTCATAACACAGTTAGTGTTAGAGACTCCAAGCAGCCGAACAAGGAGGACAAATATTATGGAAGAGTCTATTCTAGAAGAAGGAGAGAGAGGGGTAGTTATTAGTTATTTTCTGTTATTAACTAATAACTGCAAGTGGTTGTTCGCTTACTATAAATAGAATAGACTGGGGGAATTCCCAGGTAGACTGTTAGACTGTTAAGTCAGAACTAGGAAGATAGAGTTTGATGGATAGTGTACCCGGGGGTAGCTTATCTGAGGGGTTACTGCGGGGAGTAACTTAGAGAGAAGTCAGAGCAAATAAACAAGAGAGATAAAAAGTTCAAGTGTGTATTCGAATTGTATTGAGCGTGGTTTACAATGGGGGAAAGGGGTGCTATTTATAGTAGCAATAAATGCTAGATAGGGACACGTGTCAGCATTTTGGCGGTCGAGGGGACACCTCAACCGGATTAGCACTGGCATTCGCATGTGGCCGCATTAAATGCGGTGGTTGGATGCGACGTTTGTACTTGGTACGGTGATCCAGCGCATGTGGATGGGAGATTCTGTCGAGGAGGAAGCCTTCGGCTGCAGATGGCAGTCCGAAGGCTCTGCGTATTGGGGGCCTCATGGTGCCGAAGGCACGATTTTGCAGACTTGTTCTCCTGTGATGTTTCTGAGCCCAATTCCACCACTCGCAGCCTTCGGTCATGGGGCCGAAGGCACCCCTTCATGTATCGTGGGCCGCTTAGAGCTCTATCCTGCTGGGCTTGGCCCGCTTGGGCCTGATTGTGATAGTGGAAGTATGTGGGCCGGGGGTCCCTGGGCCATTTACTCCATCAGGAGTCCCTCACTCCTTTTGCCGAAAGGTACTTGAGGGAAAAGGAGTAATTGCGTTTGTCCTCTGATGCTGCCTTGCTGTAGTTTGTAAAAGTGGTGAGGAGTTTTTGCGCTTGCGTGTTTGCCGAGGGCAGTCCCTCAGTCCCCCACATTTTGGGGCTGAAGGAAAATTTTGTATTTTCGTGAATTTCCCGAAGGGGTCCTCCAGTCCCCCACTCTTTGAGGCACATGTAATGTGGTGAAGAGGAGTAGAGTGGTGCTTGTTTTCATCATGGGGCCGAAGGAAAATTTTGTATTTTCGTGAATTTCCCGAAGGGGTCCTCCTTTCTTTGTCTCACCGTCAGCAAGTGGGAGAAATGTTTTCTTGACCGACGCCTCCCTGCAAACTGTGTCAAGAAACGTTGGGCGAGTTCCTGCCATGAATCGATGCAGCCTTCGGGCAATCGGTTGAACCATTCGTATGCTGGTCCCTCTAAGGCGGAGAGGAACCAACGGCACGAATATTCGTCTGATGCCCCCACCATCATCATATTGTTCTGATATGTGCTATAATGCTCCCGGGGATCTGTCTTTCCTTCATAGGGCCTGATGGGTTGCCCCCGATATTTTTCCGGAATTCGGGCCGCCAATACCCTTGGGGTAAATGGCATCCTAGTCCGGAGTTGGATGACGGGTTCGCCGGAGCCCTCGACTATTCTCTTTTGCATCTCCTCCATTTTGGCCAGCATGGCCTCATACTTGGGATCTGCATGAGGGGCGGCGACGACGGTATGTGCTCGATGGGCCTCCATTTCATCAAGCCGGTGCTGGAGGGCCGCAATAATCTCATCTCTTTGATCCTTCGGGAGGGCCTCCACCCCCTGCGAACGAACACGGGCCGAGTGGGCCTGGTTGATTTGATGTCTTGCATCATCGGCATGGAGTGGTGCCTTGCCTTTGTTTTGAAGGGGATGCCTCTCGTCTGCCCTCGAGACGGAACCCCCACTTTCCTGAGGTTTTTGAAGCGCCTTTCCTCCGAGGCGGTCTTGGACCCCTCGGCGGTCTTGCGCCCCTCCGAGCCTCTCGAGGGCGGAGGTTCGAGGCCCCTCCTTGTTCGCACCACGTTGGTCTCGGGATTGGACCTACTGGGACGTGATATCTTGGGCCATGACCCCCTCGTTGTTCCCTAGCCGAAGGATGGGGTTCACGAAGGGGGGCGGAGGAGGGGGAGGCACGGCGTTCTCCCCGACTTGCGGCTGAAGGGGTACCAGAGTGCCGAAGGCACCCGGGTTTTGGGTGTGTGTTTGGATGAAGGCAGAGAATACCGAATGTACGTCAATAGTGAGAACCGGAGGGCTCAATTGATTTTCGCTCCGGTCTCTCCTCCGGGTTTCGATGCCAAGATGGCCATCGAGGGCATTCTGCTGAAGCTGAAGGCGTAGGTCAACAGCAGCCTATTCCAACTCAGTGATGACCCCGCCCTCGGGAGCCTTGTTAGAGGCTCCGGGGGTGTTGACTTCACCGAGGGCTAGGTTGTTGTCTTCAAGGTTCTTGGACTGAGCACGGGTGGTTCTTCTCATTTTGGTAGGTGTTTTGAGCTGAAGGGGAGGGTTTCTTAATTGATTGTTCGACCTCTCAATGAGAGCACCAAATGATGGATAGTGTACCCGGGAGGTAGCTTATCCGAGGGGTTACTACGGGGAGTAACTTAGAGAGAAGTCAGAGCAAATAAACAAGAGAGATAAAGAGTTCAAGTGTGTATTCGAATTGTATTGAGCGTGGTTTACAATGGGGGAAAGGGGTGTTATTTATAGTAGCAACTAGTTTTTATCACGCGCGTTGCGCGATCGGGTAATTGCCCAATGTGATTTACTAAGCAAAATATTTGACATATTATATTACACGTAGTATATAAGTACATAGGAAGGATTTTTCAAGAGATTACATGTGTGCAACAACAACGTATTATAATCAATTTTTTGTTGTTCATACAACACCAACAAATCAAATTGTTTGACATGTGAAGGGAACCCTAAGCTATTAAATTAAATCCAAATGTATGATCATGCTCAATTTAAGTATATGGAAAACAAAAAGTAAATTACTTTATAGGAATTAGTTTCAAGTTAAGGCAAAATGTACGTATGTCTAGCGTCTAGGAGTCTAGCCTAGTAGCCTTCTACATTTTATTTTATCATAATTACCAAAACTATAGTGAACAAATAACTTTATATACGTGTGCACTCTCGATCTTTGTATTGGATGTAAAAATAATTTGAGTTAATTTGAGTTTGCACCCCATTT